GGGGGGGAGAGGGAGTTTGATGGATGTAGCTAGTGGGAAGTGGCTAGCTAGATGTAACTAATGAAAATAGGATTACGAGAAATAGATAGGGGAATAGTTAATCTGTTGGAGCCACATTTCAAGAAGAAATTATCTAAAATAGTTAAAATTATATTTATAACTTTTTTTTTGGGAAGGGGAGGGGGGAAGGAGACATGAACCCTTGATCTCAAAAAGACAAAGTATTCACAAAATAAGGAATATCATTGGACCAAAAACTTATTGACATTTATCTAAAATAACTAAAAAGAGGGATTTAACTAAGCTTTTAGAGTTGTTCTAAGGAGCTTCGATGTGAGTGTGAAGACCACCAAGTTGAGCGCTTACATCAACTGAGTTGGGTTATTCTACTTTAATCAAAAGTTTTTGATTCGAGACTTGAAAATGTAATTGTATTTAAATATTAGTTAGAGGGAGCTTTATCGTCCTTGTAGTCCTGCTCGACTCATATTCGAATTAATCAGAGTCCATTGTGACTATCGAACACCGAATAGTTTACACCAAAAAAAAAGAAGACCACAAGTGGGTGGTCCGGTGATTATACTCCTCATGTTAAGGTGAGAAATTTGAGTCTTTAGTTTATATTAAAGTTCGATAGTTGACTGTTATATTAGTGTAGTTAAATTCATTCATAATACTCCGTTTGGTAAGGAGGATGAAAAGTAGAAGAGATACTTTTTCTATCATTCAAGGATGAAAAGTAGGAATAATACACTTTTCTTCCTTTGTGTTTGGTTGGATGGATGAAAAATAAAAATGACAATTTTTTTTTGGCGAGCTAAGATTAGGAGTGACAATCAAGTCGTGTTGTCTCAGATTCGTGTTAAGTCATTACGAGTTTGTGTCAAATATTAGTCAAACCTAATTTAACTTATTTAACTAATTGTGTTGTGTCAAGTTGTGAGCTGACCTGTTTATTTTCGTATCGAGTTCGAGTCGTGTCATCGTGTTGAGTCAAAAATTTTCACCCTTGGTTAAGATGGAAAAAATATTTTTTTTTAATTTAAAATTTTTATTATTTTAAATTTATTTTTAAAATTTTTTAATATATATATACATATTTTACCATTATATTTTTATATGAAATTAATGTATATATAAAAAGATATATAGATAAATAAGATACATCTCAACACAAATAATTAATTTTTCATCCGATTTTGGAGGGATTGATTTTGGTGAGTTGAAAAGAAAGTTAATCCATCTATTTTTTCATCCTTCCTACTTTCCTTCATTACCAAACATGATGTTTTATTTATCCTTTAAACTTTTTATCTATCTAATTTTTCATCCTTCCACTTTTCTATCGTATCAAATAGAACATAAGAGTAATAATAAGCATGATCAAGAGTCTTATAATTTTTCTAGTAATAACCTATCGAGATAAATTTTGGATACTATTCTTTGGCCCCACTCTTCTTTTAACCAGCCAAAAAAAAAAAAAAAAGTGAGTGTGAAGATACAAACACAGAACCCATTACACACAAACAAGCCATAAAGTGAACATGGTTTTTCTATTCCTCTCTCTCTCTCTCTCTCTCTCTCTCTCTCTCTCTCTCTCTCTCTCTGCACCTTTTGTTTTTTATGTAATCTGACCAAGATCTCAGTTCGGGAAGACTATGATACTGAATTTTTTTTTTTTGGTACAATATTTTTAAATTGTATAATTTAATGAGTATTTTTATAATTTTTATGAATTATTTTATTAGAAATTTTTTTATTATTTTTGTGGGTATTTAGGTATTTTTTTTTTAATCATTTTGTGTGATAATTATTTTTATTATTTTTGTGATTATTGGGAACAATTTTAAATAACTGCGATCGATTACAGTTACAAAAAAAGTGATAAAAATAATTACCACAAAAAATATAAAAATACCCATAAAATTTATAAAAATATACCCAAAATTATATGTAATAGTATAATACCAATTTTTTTTGGGTACCGCAAACTTCTTTTGATATAACCAAATAAAGTACTAAAAGAAGCATTCATATGAAGTGGTGTCTCTCTGGAAAGATGAGTATTGTCGAAGGATCATACTTTTTTACGGATTTATGATATAATTTATCTGTATATTTATTTATGTACTAAAAAAAAAAATCTGACTATGGTATCAAAAAGAGTAATTTTTTGATACCATACCCATTTTTTTGTGAGTAATATTATTTTGTTCAATTGAGTGTTGATTCTAAAAATGATTAATAAAATAAAATAAATAAAATTTTGAAGTTTCGCTGTTTTTTTTTGGGAGGAAAACTAGATATATGGTATCCAAAAGTTGGATGGACCCTAAAAATGTGACACATGGAAAGTTCGTTTATTTTATTCTTTTCACGATCAATGGTTACAAATAACTAAAAAGTCGGAGGAATATCAATGGACAAAAATTATATTTTGATATATAATACTTAAAAGTATTTTTGAGAGAGAGAGAATATTATGCTCCCTCTGCTAAGTGATAGTTCTCCCATAATGTCACAATTGGTGATTAAGATTTTTTTTTTTTCTTTCTCCACAAAGCATGATTTGATTTCCATTATGATGTTTGAAAGCTGTTTTCAACCACTCTTCATCATTGCTTATCCGAGGCTAATCAGGTTACCCCAACTGTAAATGTCTAATCAAGTACTCTCTTGATCAACTCAAGAGAAGCAATCTGGTGCAGGACATCTTCCTTAAATCCGCCATACATGCCCCACACCACACCCCAAACAATCAGAGAAAATTAGGCAAAGTGACCATAAATTCATAAGATATGTAATGTGAAAATAACGATTTTTCTATTCAAATCAAGTATTAACAGAGTACGTATGTACAGTATATATATCAGCGTTTTCAATATCAAATATAAATTTGGTATTATCCCAAAAAGATCTGGATATAGATAGATCAAATGGTTTGGTTTGGGATTGGCGTTATCTATTCCAGAGAGATTCAGATGAAAAAAGATCAATTATGGTAACTAATCTTTTTCTCTAACTTGTCCCCACAAGTGAAGAGCTCTATGAAGGAGACTGGGCTTGTTACGAAAAAACTTGAACCGGTAGAGTGGGTAGTGGTTTGATTCATTTTACAGAGGTATTTGACTTGTAAGTTACGTTTGACAACATTGTCACGAACAAAATGGAATGTGATTTCATTGTGCTTCATGCGGTTATGGAAAATCAGGTTGACAATAAGGAACGTTGCACCAATGTTATCGCACCATAGAATGGACAGTTCACTTGGAAAAATCTGCAGCTCCTTGAGAATAGATTTGAGAGACCCAGATGGGGTAATTTGTTTCATCAAGTTTGGTGGTTATCTAGGTGGTGTGAGTGGCAGAAGAAGGAAAGGAAGAGGATGGGGCCGCGGTGATGGGTGAGTCGACAGTGGTGGCTATTGCGATGCTCATGGTGTTGATTAATATAGTGCTCTAACTTTTAATCAAGATACACTCTGATACCATGTGAGAATAAAGATTTTTCTATTCAACTCAAGTATTAACAGAATACATATATGCAATATATATAGCAGTGTTTTGAATGATCAAATACAAATTTGGTGTTATCCTAAAAAGATCTGGGTAGAAATAGATCATTTGATTAGGGATTGACATTATCTCTCAGGATGTTATCTGATAGAGTTTCAGATGAACACAAATCGATTATGATAACTAATCTTTATCTCTAACATGTAAGAACCAAGGAAACTGACCAAATCTTGTGGGCTAAAGGACATTTCATAGCTGCACAGCAATAGAATCTTGTTGGACTTTTTTAATTTATTTTTTGTTACACGTGTTTAGAGTTACACCGACTATTCTCTTGAATTCTGGGTGACTAGCACTTAGGGGGCTGTTGGGTAAGAGGGGTATTGTTGGGGGGAGGGGGGTTTGGCAAGATTAGTTTGAGAAAAATAGTCCAAAAGATCCTCAAATCTCATATTTAGATTGAAAATTTAATTCCAGGTTTTCAAACTCAGCTCGTAGCTGGCCCAAAAATTAAATCTATGATCATGAGTTTCATTAAACCTAGGGAGGGGGTGGGTTTGAGAAGATGAGTTAAGGGGTTAAGGATATAAAAAATAATTGTACCCCTTAACATGGGTACGAATTGAATTGACCAAGATAAAATAGTTATTAAAGGGTAAATAATTGTTAATAATTATAATATATTCGTCGATTTTACATGTGTATGTGTTGCACACTAAATATAAGTATGAACCAAATTGAATGTTGAATTTCATCTTTGTAAATAAGAGTTTGAATTTGGAAGAATTTGAAAAAGACATCTAAAATTCATCCAAACAAGTTGCAGAGGTGTAGAAAGAGATTAAACATGAAACTTTTAAATAATCAAAAACCAAATTCCATTATTGAATCATCCTAAGGGTTGGGCTCTTTTATTTGTTAGATATGAGTGTGTCATCTATAATACAAAATATGATAAATTCTAATAAATTTATTCGACGATCCCAAATAAATTTATTCAACAACTATCAATATCTCTTAAAATTATTTATATTAAATTTTTTATCTTCTCTATTCAAATTCGTCGCTTTTCACCGTCTTGCTTTAGGCACAGATTTCACCGAGCATCATTTATAGTACCGCACATTTGAATTCCTAAATAAAATTCTCTCTCTTAAATGGACAGAACATGAGAGGCTATTATGCAAAGTAAATAGAAAAGCAGTCTCTAGAGAACTACCCACTCACTATCATTACACTTCACTACAATTATCCGTGAGCAATATTACATGAATTTTAAAATTAAATTTGATAATTTTAATTATTGATTTTTTTGTGAGTTTTAATATTTTTTAAAATTCATTATCTATTTAATGGTTAAGATTATCAATTATAATTTTTAAATTTACTTTTTAATTACACGTAACATTACTATTCCCCACACACGTCCCCCTCCCTCTTCCTTTCCCTCTATATACACATTCGCTCACTCTCTATCACTAAAACCACACAACCCCAACTCATCACTCCACAACAGCCATGAACAACTCTCTTCCTCCCCATACTCTACTACCCCTTCTCTTCTCACTAACTATTCTTTCTCTCTCCTCATCAGCCCATGGGTTCAACTTGAACTCCAAGTGTGACACACAGGACCAAGGGTCCACCCTCCAAGTCCTCCATGTGAACAGCCCATGCTCACCATTCAGGCCACAAACACCACTCTCATGGGAAGAGAGTGTGCTCCAAATGCAGTCAAAGGACCAAACCAGGCTCCAGTATTTGGCTAGCCTGGTGGCCGGAAAGTCGGTCGTGCCAATCGCTTCCGGCCGGCAGGTTTTGCAGAGCCCAACTTATATTTTGAAGGCTAAAATTGGGACACCAGCTCAGACTATGTTCATGGCTGTGGATAATAGCAATGATGCTGGTTGGATACCTTGCAGTGGCTGTGCTGGGTGCTCTTCTACCAAGTTTGATTCTGCTAAGTCTACCACTTTCAGGACCCTTGGTTGTCAAGCTGCACAGTGCAAGCAGGTATTAACATCTCACAATTCTATATACTATTCCCACAAAATTAGTGGATTCGAGTGATAAACAGGTAAGTCTAGCAAATAAATATTTTTTTTTTCACGGTAGAAAAAGGGGTATAGAAGATTGTTCAAAGACCAATAGATCTACTCTATTTGTGGGATCATCGTACCTCTGACCGCACTCCTTATTTTTCTCAAAAAAACAAATCTAGCCCGTCAAATAATTGAAAGGTCAAAACTCAGATTAAACACGCATAATAAATTCTTTAGGCAATAAATTCACAATCTCATTTAAGACCTGATAGTGATGAGCACAAAAGTATAATAATGATGTCAATGCACTGCTTTAGCTGACATGATTAACGATCCCTTACACATGTCTTAAATAAATCATTTACTTCAGGAGAAGATTACGGTATTCAAAAAAAAAAAAAAAATTGGTACCTTACTTTCAAATTTTATAATTTTTTGGGTCATTTAACAACAAAAAAATTTATAATTTTTGTAGGTGATTTATAATTTTTATGGGTATTTTTATAAGTATTTTTATAGTAATTTACAATCAATCTTAACATTTTAGGATAGATGACAAGGTATTTCAAAAAGGATAAAATTAATTATTACAAAAATAATAAAATATTCACAGAAATTATAAATAATAGTACGGTACCAAAATTATTATGTTTTTGGGTATGGTAGACTTCTCTTTTACTTAAATAAATCAAACATTTGATCACTCAAAATTCTTTCAACAATTGTCTACAATATAAATCCGAAAATGCATCTTGAATCTTGATCCATGGAAATTAATAGTATTAAAAAGGTTTTTTTTATTCATAATAACCACTCTTTTTTAAAATAATTAAATAAAGTAAAATATAAAAATATAACATGTGTACTTTTATTTGAAAGAAAATTAAATATACGAATTTCAAAAAATTGTTTTTTGGTACTCAAGTTGGTGTCCAAATTTTTCGGCGAATCATTTATCATTCATGAGGGATTCACGTGTAAGAATGGGTCCCACTTCTACGTATAATACTTGATCACCAAGAAAAAATTAAAAAAAAAGGAATATTATGTAATTCAAATTTGTATCCCAAATGAAAGGGAATTATTGATTAACGAGTCCCATTTAAAAAAATTGATGAGATCCACTTATTTAACGGTCTTCTTTCATTTAAGATGAAAATTTGAATTGTAAATCTGAGTTATATAACATTTTTCTCTTAAAAAAATATATATTGAAAAAAAATTTAGTCCGTAAAAAAAGCACAATAATATTTATTAGCATTAATATGTTTGGTGGTGGCAAAACTTTCAGGTACCAAACCCCACCTGCACAGGCCGCGCGTGTAGTTTCAACATGACCTATGGAAGCTCCACCATTGCGGCTAACCTCTCACGAGACAGCATAACCCTAGCCACCAACGTTGTGCAACGCTACACCTTCGGCTGCATTCAAAAAGCCACAGGCAGTTCAGTGCCGCCGCAAGGCCTTTTGGGCCTGGGCCGTGGCCCACTGTCCCTGTTGTCCCAAACGCAACGACTTTACCGATCCACATTTTCTTACTGCTTGCCTAGCTTCAAGTCATTAAATTTTTCCGGGTCGTTGAGACTCGGCCCAATTGGCCAGCCCAAGAGGATCAAGTATACGCAATTGCTGAGGAATCCTAGAAGATCATCATTTTACTATGTGAACTTGATCGGAATTAGGGTCGGCCGGCGAGTCGTGGACATCCCGCCAAGTGCGTTTGCATTCGATACCAACACCGGTGCAGGGACCATAGTCGATTCTGGTAATTTTTTCCCTTTTTCTAGCTTATAATTTCAATGTGGTATGACTAAATGGTAGAGATAAGCAATGAGATTTGTTCAAAATTGATAGAGTGGCAATTATAAGTTCTTTTGTAAATCCTCTGAATTTAATCACTTAGTATTGTTCATGTCAATGTACCAATTTCCATATTCAGGGACCATCTTCACCCGGCTAGTCGAACCAGCCTACACCGCTGTGAGAAACGAGTTCCGCCGCCGAATGGGCAAAGCCAACGTGTCATCCCTAGGCGGTTTCGACACCTGCTACACCGTCCCCGTCACCGTTCCGACTATAACCTTCATGTTCTCCGGCATGAACGTGACCCTCCCGCAAGACAACTTCTTAATACACAGCACTGCGAGCAGCACCACGTGCTTGGCCATGGCTGCAGCCCCAGAAAACTTCAACTCTGTACTGAATGTGATAGCCAATATGCAGCAACAGAACCATAGGATTCTCTTTGATGTGCCCAATTCGAGGCTGGGCGTGGCTCGTGAGAAGTGTACGTAAGCTGTTTGTGTTGTTGTCCCAATGAGTTCAGGTCGTGGTGATGCTGTGGAATGGGTTTGGTGTTGTTTTTTTTTTTTTGGTTTAGGTCTGGAGGTGGGAAGGTCCCGTTTTGGGCGGTACTTTGGTTTTACCTGTGGTTTATTACTATTTCTACAGCTAAATCTGAAAAGTAACATTGCATGACGACATCTTTTTTTGTAGTTTTGTACCGAAAAAAGGTCACGGGTCATCTGTCTTTGCCCCTTTTTTTTCTCTCTATGCAGTTGGTAACTTCGGTAACTTTAGTGGATTAGGTCGTACAATGTTACGGGTTACCTACGGCTTGAAAGTTTTCAATACGTTCTCTCTCCCCCATTCTAGACGTTATGAACAAATATGATAAATAAATAATAAAAAAATAAAATACACAAAATTTATGTGATTCAGTTCACCAAATTAGCTTATGTCCACGGGTGAACCATAGTTACAAGTTTTTACTATTAAAAGGTTGGAAAATGACAATACGGCCATGTAAACTATTGCAAGAGAACATGTTTTTTTTTTTTTCCTTGGGACAAAAAATGAGTGGAAACAAAGGAAAGCGTTCAGAAACTATTTCAATAGGTCTTCACTGATAAGATTATGAGATCATTGACTGTGTTTGTTATTTCTCTCGATAAAGAATTTAGTTAGGTTAACATAACAATCAATCATTGAACCACAATGTGTACTCTAAAACTCGAACTTTTAACTTGAATATGAGAAATTCGACTGATACCCTATTGGACTATCCTACTCAATAATGTGAAAACTTGTGTTTGTTCTATCACTATTACAATATAAATAGTGCCAAATAAAAAATACTCTATTCACCAAACTTGGTTTTCCTAAAGAGTAGCCAACGCAAAGAGAAATCCAATTTTTTCTTCAAGAATATTGTGGACAAGGTCGATGTCATTGGCACGAGGTAGTTCAGCCCATATAGTGCCTATATAAAGAATCCACCTCAAGGTCAAAGTCTTGGTAAAGACAAAGTCCACCCACGTGAAAGGTTAAATGAGTTCTCCCAATTTGTCATTTTCTTGCTAGCATAGACATATTCATGATGATGACTTTTCATTGAGATGTATCCAAAACAAACACATATACCAATTAATTTCAACGAGCTCCCCATGAAAAACCTTTAAATAAAATCCAATTGAAACTTGTAATACAAGCCACCATAATACTAGATATAATGTTTGAAAATCAGAGATTAAAAAGAAATGAAAGGTTATTAATATTGGGGGGGGGGGGGGGGGTATTCCCAAATTATCCATCCCCACCTCTATAAATTTTTTTTTTTAATGAAAACTACTAAGTTTATATCTCGTTTTGTACGAGGGTACTAAACTCACTCCATTCTATAACCACTCTTTTATCGATTAAGCTCACCCCAAAACTCATAAATCAAGTTGGGGGCAATGCTGATGAATGAGGTTTTGATTAAGGTTTTCACATCAATTTCTTCGTATTGGATGATTTTGTATGTTGTTGAATTGTGGTAGTATTGGTGTGTATCCTCCTATGGTTGTTAAAAAAGTACTGGGGTAGTACAGAACTAGGGCTTACAGTAGAGGAATTTTGGTTAGTGGGTTAGGGTTGATTTTTTCTCGACACGAATTTTTAAATGACACGATCCGTTAAAACGAATAATAAATTAGTTGAGTTAGTGACAAACATGAATAACACGAAATAAACAAGATTAACACATTTAACTAAAATTATAAAAATAAAATACTAATTATTTGTTATTGTTCATTAAGCATTGACATCATTGTTATACAAAAAAGACTTTTTTACTCATTATTATTTTCATGTTTATTAAGTCGAATTTTAGTTTATAAAAAAAAAATATGAGCATGAATTCAATTAAGTGATAATAGAATCTTAGAGTTTAATCTTAATGTTAAATTTTTTATTCAAAGTTCATATGGATTAACATGAATATGAACACGAATCCGACACAAAAATAAATACATCAGTCGACATGACACGATTAATTAAATAAATTAAGTTAGGGTTGACTAATATTCGACATAAACTCGCAATAATTTAACACGAATTTGATACGACATGACAAGATTGTCATCTCTGGATCGGATGAATCCTTAGTTGGGGAAGACGAATATGAAGATGGAGAGTCAAACAAATCAATTTTAGGCCATTGGGTGGATTCCGTTATTAATTGGTTGGATATAGAATTGAGTAAACTTAGAAATTTTATATTAAGAAGTTAAATGGGATACATATAAATTTTTTTAAGGTGAGAATAGTCTCCCCAATTCATAGAACAGATTTTTTGCTTTTTTTTTACTACAAGGTTTTTAGGATTGCATTGACTACTCATTCAAACTCTGAAATTAATTATTGTACAGTCTTTCGAGCGGGTTTAGAACATGATCCCTGAAAAACAAGAGTGACTTGTCTTGAAAAGTTATGAGAAGTGTTAAACTTGAAACTTCTGAATTACGAGAGAAAAAACTCAACCATCGAACCAGTTCTTAGGATTTAAAATAGATATTTTTTACAGCAAGAAAGGCTGTGCGCATTCAAAGTAGAATGAGGCAAAACGGTAATAGAGAAAAAACAATTGGGCAAAGTCATAACTGCTAATCAAACATCAATTAAGTAGGATTTGGAAAGCTAGAATTCAAGGAGAATTGGTCTGACTCTTTCTTATTAATGATTTTTCGTGTTGAATGCTACTATGTCTTGAATTGGATGGTCATAGGCTATTTACTCTCTCCCCCCCCCCCCCCCCCCCCCCCCAAAAAAAAAAAAGGTGAGAGACTATGAACCCAAGTTGTGTCGAATTTGATTGAGGGTTGAGACAATATCAAAGTTAGTGTGTGCATTAGGAAATTCCACCTATCTTCCAGATGTAGCTGAAACTTGTTCTTTCTCTAACTGCATTAAGGTCATTATCCCATTAAAACAATTGACAGCTCAGAAGTATTAGTTTGCATGGACCTCGATTAATTTTTTTTCCGTCGTAATTAAAGGTAGGTCATCCATGTTAAAATTAGAGTACTTGTAAGGGATAAATCTATCATAAAATAACCCTAAAAAATTATCAAAATTCGAACTCAAGTTTGTATTTATTTTGTTCCGGCTCTCTTTGGTTTTGGTTGTTTTGTATAACCACATGTGCTTCAAGCAACGGAAATGTCGTGTCCACCAAAACTTTTATCAAATTTTTGAATCTCAAATGATGTGTCACATTGGTAGTCATTGTTTGTGGAACCTACTGATCTTATGGCTTACGTTGATTTAAAATTCAAAATATGATAAAAAATTTAATAAATATAACATTGTTAAACCCGAAAATAAACTCAAAAATAACACGACACGACACGAATCGAGAATCTTACTTCTAAATGTGTAGCTGAAATTTGCCCTTCTTTTTTAATGCATTAAGGACCATTATCCCATTAAAACAACAGACAGAAGTAAATAGTCTGGTTGACAACTTCTCAAGGACTTCAAAAGGGTCATTGGATTGGACATCAATAACTTCATCACCAACTTGCACATTTTTTAAAGTTGTAATCGTAAATTAGAACCGACAATGGGTCATGACATGTTCGGTTTATGTTTTGTTTAAGTCATATTGTATCAAAATTTATGTAATTTATATTCGATTTATTTAAAATTGTTCTAAGCAAGTCCGTATCTTGTATAATCAAGTTCTTGCAGACAAAATTTTGGCAATTTAGACTTGATGGTTAATTTGGTTAGACCCGAAACCATTAAAGCTAAACTAATATCAATAGCCGGCAATAAATTCATATCGATTTCATTTTAGTAGCAAGAGACAGAGAGTGTTTATTTTTTTCATGTACAACGATGAATGTACTTTGAAGTAAAAAAACTATTATATAGCCGATGAGAGTCTATTGTAAGTCTTGTTTTGCTTGAATAACTCTATAACCGTTTAAAAAATAGACTTTAATTAGAAAATTTTCCCTTATGAGGAAGAATGAAAAATGAATTAATACCAAAAAAAAAAATTAAGAATAATAAGTTTTTTTTCGTATGTATAACGAAGGTTCTAGACTATTCTTAAGACAAAATGGCAAGGAAATTTATGGGTACTTGGTGAGACTCGACCTCAGGTTATGTTTTTGAGTGAGCACTATTCGAACATGGTTGTAAGTTCTTAAAAGTTTTACAACCTATTGTCAATCTTGCTTTTATTTTTCAAGTTTGATTTCAAAATTTCAATTACAAAAATTAATTTAATTGATCTTACATGTTGGTTTTTTCTAATTATATATTTATATTATGTTATTCAAATTTACCTTTTATGTAAGATACTTAGACTTGTCAATTGATCAGATTCTGATCTGAATACGAGTAACTAGATATGGATTAATATTTTTTTTAGCGATAATTTGAACCTGATTTCGATCCGATATCTTATATTTTACGGATTTAAATTTGAATATATTTATATTCGATTTGAATTATTTAAAGAAATTTAGTTAAAATTAAGGTATAATTTGTTAAAAATTAGTTAATTAAGTTATTCGGATCAGATCGAATTTTTGGATTAAATTCCAAATTATTAACGAATTCAGACATATATCACGAAAATAAAATTCATTGAATTATCAGATCGCATTGAAATTCGTATCAATTAAAATATAATTCAAATCCAATCTGTTGACTGGCCTAAAGAGAATATATTGGCGTGAATAGTATAAACCATTGCTTGTTCATATTCCTATACTTTTTTATTGATTCATTATTTAAATACACATAATTATTTTTGGTTAGGAAATATTTTTAAAATTAAAAATATGTTGGATAATTTTATAAAATAAGAACTATATATATAATTATTGTAATTTTTGCAACAAGACATCTCAATAATCACCCAGACGAATCCACTTTACTCGAATAATAAACTTATTATATTTCCTGTTCTCCACCCAAAAAAAAACGTATGATTTTTATTTTCTTTATTGATAAATAATTTTTTTTTTAATGTATTTTTGAGTTGGGGAAGAGTTTGGTGGTCATACCCTACCAAACAAAATGACTAACAAGATAAATAACACATTATTATAAAGTGTATGCTTTGCAATTATCAATTGCAACCTTCATGAAAGTCAAGGCCACTTTGGTAACTTTACAGAACTTTGGTAGGTGGAAATAGTTTGAAAAATTATAAGTGCACCTTTCTTATTCATCCCCACTCATCCTGTCTGTTCTCCTATCCTTTTCACATATATATCATGGTATCCACCCCTTGGACCCTTTTCACACTTAGAATGAATTTTTTTTAAAAAAAATATTGAAATAAAATGTACAAATTATTAAATTGTAATTATTATTATTTTTCATTAAAACCCAATTGTTAACATCATTCAATATTTTCGAGAAAATATTGAATGTAACGATAATATCGCATTATTATTGTTACGTGTTTTTATCAAGTAAATATAAATGAATTCTTAGAAGCGGTCGAATGGTTGAATCTGACATGTGGTAATTCAACGACTAGCCATCCTAATCTAGAGATTAGCTTTAACACAGTTTAAGTCACGATAACAAATTATTGAGTCGAGAGAATAGTCGGCGCAAGAATTGAACACCCTATTGATTTTTTGTGGTGTTTATACAACCAGATGAATATGAGCTTTTTTTTTTTTTTTTTTCTGAGAGAGAAATAGGATAGAAAAATGATCTCATCAAAGTGGTTCAGATATTTATGTATTTACTCTTGTGGTACATGAATATAAAGAAAAGAAAATAATGCAGACTAATTGTTAGTTACTTACCAAAAAAAAATGTTTTTCTGGGGATCCACATGAAATAATAATTCTTATTTTTGTTTAGGATAACACTAGTGTATGAAAAAGACTTTTGGCACCGCACTAAAATTTATTAAGTTCAAAAATTAAATTATAACTTTTAAAAATAAAATTATAAATACTCGAAGTAATTCATAATCGCTCATAAATTATTTTAATCAATTGAAATAACTTGATTTGAATATTAATTTTATTTTTAAAACTTATAACGTCATAATCGGTCACAATATTTTGTAATCAATCATAGTCTTTAGAGTTATAACTTCCGCCCTTAAAAATTTTATAACTAATTTTAATGGATAGTTCAAGTGGTAACAGAGACGATGTGTAAATTCAAACATCGTGAATTTGAATCTTGACAATTCTTTAAAGTCAGGTTATAAGAGATTTATCTCTCATAAATATCCTAATTCTGACGTGAATGACTTGCGTTTGACCGAACTGAAGAGAAAATTAATCAAATTACATGTAAATTAGTCGGGACATCTCTGACCGTTGAATTAAAAAAAAAATTCTAATTTAATCTTGAAACGTCATAATTTAATCTTTGAATGGTTATACTAACAATTAAGACCAATGTAAAAAAGTAGACCAAATTCCAGGGACTTAAGTGTAATTTAAACGTAAATTAATCAAATAAAAAAATCTCGGAGAGAGGAGAGGGAGGATCACGTCACCTCTTCAACCCATAATTCATCACAAATGGAGAGAGGGAGAAATCTACAGTCAATTACGTAAAGCAGTTCAATTCCTTAATGGGTTTTTTCAGCATACTACAAGAAGAACACCAAATAGTTTGGGATATACAGAGAAATCTGTGACTAGTAGCAAAATTTATGTAGAAAATGATATGTTTATTCACATGTAAACATCATATCGACTGATTTGATTTGTTCTGATTGGAGCTTCTCAGCAGAAACGACTCGGAAAAAGCAACCAGATCGCAGAGTAGAGACAGAAAGCAGAGGAAAACCCAAAGAATTCTAATAGAGAAAGCAGAGGAATTACCCAAGGAATTCAGCAAAGAAAGCAGAGGAAAAGCCCAGGGAATTCAGAGAGAGAGCAGAAATGGAAGTGAAACGACGAACAGCGAAGATTCTGGTAACGAAGCTGAGCTCGGTCTCCGAAAAAACTCGAACAGAAGCCCTTTGCGAGCTCCGATTGATCTCGAAAAACGACTCCGAAAGCCGATCTATAATCGCCGACGCCGGTGCGATCCCTTATTTAGCAGAAACACTGTATTCGCCGTCGCCGATGTCCCAAGAAAACGCCACAGCCACCCTCCTCAACCTCTCCATCTCCTCCCGTGAATCCCTCATGTCCACGCGCGGCCTCCTCGATGCTATCTCCCACGCCCTCCGCAACTCATCTTCACCGCTCACCACCCAATGCGCCGCCGCAACGATTTTTAGTCTTTTAACCGATGAATCTTTCAGACCCATCATTGGGCACAAGCGAGACATTGTTTTTGCGCTAATTGATGTTATTAGGGACGCCAAGTCGGTTCCAAGATCGATCAAAGATGCACTTAAAGCCCTCTTTGGGATTGCTTTGTACCCGTTAAACCGTGCAACGATGATCGAATTAGGGGCTGTGCCAGCGTTGTTTTCATTGGTGGTGAAAGATGGGAGAGTTGGGGTGGTGGAGGACGCCACGGCAGTAATTGCCCAAATTGCTGGGTGTGAAGAGAGTGGAGATGCGTTTAGGAAGGTTTCGGGTATTGGAGTGCTTGTGGATTTGTTGGACAGTTCAACAGGATCTAGTGGTAGGACAAAAGAAAATGCTGTTTCTGGGTTGTTGAATTTGGTACAATGTGGAGGGGAAGATATTAAGAACAATGTGAGGGAAATTGGGTTGAGGGTGTTTGATGGAATTCAGGATGTTGCAGAGAATGGGGGCGAGAAAGGGAAAAGCAAGGCTGCTGAATTGTTGAAAGTTCTTGATGCTTGGAGCGATGGCTTGCCAAATTTGCGGTTCGAAGCTTTATTGAGTCATTCTGCATGAGTAGTAATCTTTATTTATGTTGTGTTCTTAGATAGATAGATAGATCTGTGTTTGGTAGATGCTTATTTTGATGTTGAAATTTATATATTTTGTTGTAGTTTAGAGAAACAGATGTTTGATGTATATGAGTCATAAGAACATCGCTTCTTGAAATTCATATAGTTTTCCTCTTTATTATTCTTTTCAGCTTTTAAACTAATAATATGTGTAATCAATCTCTTTTAAAAATGATGATAAAAGCAAATTTGTGTGGGAAATATGTTTTTAGTGACCCTAGCAACTAGCATATTCTTCATTTAGTTGTAGCTTAATGGACTGCCATGGGCGGCATGGGAAAGATTAATCATTGGTAATGAAGGAAGAAATAGTTGTTGAATGTAGAATGTGATGGATATAGTATTTACCTTGTTCTGATGAAAATTATAAGCACTCAGTTGTCTGATATCTGAACAAGTCATGCCAAAAATCTATATATGCCTTAGACAACACACACACACATACGTTGAAGTCTTTTTTTTGATCAAGACATAATCCAGCTTGCAATACATCCAATAATATGAAAGCCATCTACCTGGGGTATGCCAATGGTACCTTAGAATACGTTGCAGAATACAAAATTTATCATGTAGGACAAGAAAGATTGACCTTCATGTTGGAATAGTATTATGTCAATATTTGGAGGAAGAAGTTATGGTCCTCGAGAAAATAGGAGAGATGATGATATAAAGAACACTAGTCCATGGAGAACAGACAATATATAAATCGGTGTACATGTACCTAATGTAGGATTTATAAGATGTATGAGCTGATATGAGGGATAATTGTTAGGAATCTCTAAATATGGTAATAGGAGAGAAGAGATTCAAATCACTATACTTACCGAAAAAAGACTTGAATGGCTATGTAGGTTTCTTTGAGGATAATACTTGAATTGCTATGTCAGTTTGGTAGAGGATAATACTTGAATAGCTGTGTACGTTTGGCAGAGGATAATATAAGTGTGTGTACATGGGTGTGGAAAAAGTAATGAGGTAGCAAATGTGATGTGTTTTATTTGAAATCGTATCTGTTTTCTGATGGAGGATGATATCAACAGAAGGTAGAAGACGAAATTTTTATGAAAGCTGATTAGGAAGCTCAAGTTGAAGATGAAAATTTTGTGAGATTGACATTGTGAGAATGTTTAATGAAAATTAGGGGTTTCATATGCGAGAGAATCATGGAAAATTAGAAATGTGCTACCTTGAGGGAATTAATGGCATTTCTATTGTAGCTTAATTGTATTTTTGAAATGATTATGTTTATTGTTGACTAAGTTGCCCCTGTAGGGCACTTCTTAGATGTTTTCTAATCTTAGTACTTCGAAAAATCAAATCGCACTGACAATAAGTTAATGGATTTGCATGTCAGGTGTGACTCCACTGTTTATGGAGTTAACGAATTTTGATCGAAACATTGGGAAAGAATGGTTTGGACAAGATTAAGGCTTAAGTGAAAAATCAACAATGAAAGGAGATACTCCTACTGCTGTCGTTGATTCAAAGGCAGTATATAAGAGTTCTTCATCAGATATTACAGTGAATCAGTGATAACAGACAAGTAGAAGTTCTGAGAACAAGTGAATGAAACAAGCATGCTTCCATCATAGTAGACTATGATTGAGGATGAACCTTCTCTTTTTTCACTGACTGTGACTGATGTAGATAGTTACACTTAATAAATAGGTGTTGTTATTGTCTTATTCACAAAATTAGGAGCTTTCAAAAGATGTAATGTTTGTTGTTTTATTCATAAAGATAGAGTGGTTATACAATTTTTAGGTAGAACCTCTGAAAGATGCTTTATATTCTCAAGGTTGTGGATAAACAGGACCAAATGGAATGTACAGAATAATTGAAATGAATTAGTAGATTGGCAAATGTGGCCCTTTCTGGTTCAATTTTCATATTTGAGGGATTCCGGAAAAACTCTTGGATCAGTTATCTATCGGAACAGAAGGCACAGGTGATGATTCTTCTTAATATGAAGGGAAAGTGCAAATGCAGTGTAGCTTGATTAGAAAGTAGGATATGGTGGTTATAAGACTATCTTTGCTCTTTGGCACAGAATGGCTGTGCTGCAATGAGGATGTTGAGATGTTTAAGTTGTAGCATTTAGCATATAAAACCATCAAAATTCTGTGACGACAGAGGTTTGTTCATTCAGCAAGTTTCATTGTATTTTGCCCTATACGCTTTTTGTAGTTGCTCTTTGCTTTTGATTTTCTAACACAGAACTTAAGCTGAATTGTGAACTTTGTTGCTGTGTTCCTGATTTCTTTATGACATTCTTGGATTACCAGTTGATTTATTGTTTAAATAGTCATCATGTGAGTGATAATTTGTTTTAAAGTTTCCAATCTTAAATGAGATATATTTTGTAAGATTTTTTTTTTTTTTTGGGGAGGGGGGAGTTGTTGGAATTTACAACTACCATTGGATCACTCTCACGGCTCATCACGAGAGGAAGACGATTAAATTCGAACTCAGGATTTTAATACGGTGATTATTAAGCCAATTATATTAACCTTTCACCAAGATTAAAGAATGGAAAGTGAAAGGTCGAGATAATGCTTAGTTATTTAAGCACATCATGATTAGCCAATCAGATTCAGTAGATGGTATTATCATATTATAATTGCAGAGGCTTGTTTGTCAACCATACCGGATTAAAAGACACATTAAAGCACCTCCACCCCCCCAAAAAAAAAAAAACTACCAACTTTTTTCATTTGTCAACTATCCATTTCCTTTCTTTTTCTTTTATTCAATCGCAATAGATGTTTAAATCAATTTATATACATTTTGACTAATTTTTTATTCGATTCGATTAAATGTAAATCATTCATACCGGAATTAGAGTATTTATGGATGTAAAATTCTTCATAATTTGACTCTAAGAAATTATGTAGATCATCGGGTGTTAAGCCCATTAACGTAGGCATAGCATGTTGAACCACGATATTCTCTGTGTTGTCCTTTGAATTCGCTTCCGTTCTAGTTGACATGGTCAAGTGTGGGTTGCGATCAAGTAAATAATTATAACTCTAAGAAAGGTTGCGATCGAGTAAATAATTATAGCTCTAAGAAGTAACACATGTTTACGATTTTCAAACCATTGATAGTGTTTTGTTTAGCAAACGTGGTGGTATTCACCAAATGCTGTCAATAAAGAACTTAAATGAAAGCCCAACAATAGTTAAAGAATCAGAGAAGTTCGAGAAAGACAGATAGCGTTGAATCCCAAAAAAAAAAAAATTAAAAAGGGTTAGAAGAGAGAGAAAATAGTGAAAAAAAAAAAAAAAAAGGAAGAGAAGGAAAATTAATTTTCCCACATTATCTTCAAGGAGGGAGTTTGAGGAGTTCGGTCATCAAATTGACAAACAACCACCTTATATTTTAATTTAAGTTGGACACTTTATCTAATTTAAGTGTACCAATTTGAGGGGAGTATTAGAGATATGAAAGAATCAGAAAAAATCTATTAATATTTAGGTAGAGATATAATAAAATCTAAAGAGATTCATCGATATAATAGAAATATGTGATTTATATTTATCTTGTGTAATTCTCATCCTAGAGTTGAGTCTCGTGTAAGGTGTTTTGGACAAGTGAATTAACGTCGTCTTACTCAGCCAAATCATTATTTTTTATCTCTTTTTTCAAATGAAATTATTTAAAGGTGAATTTACGAGTTGCGCTAATGTTATAGGGATTTAATTTAAATACCTAATTTAATACGGTTATTGTATTAGTTGTGAATTCTAATATTAGGCGAAACTCACTAACAATCTAATGATTTTATTAGATTAAGGTCACCAGATTAGGTCCAAATAACATTTTCTGTTATGTATCACTACTTAGTGCAGTAGTAAAAACTCATGCTAATAAGTAATGGATTTGACTACGATGCATAAGATTGATAATCGAGTTGAAATTTGTGACCTCAAGTCGAGTTTGTTGAATTCGTTTTTCTAAACAAACCTAATAAATTATTTAAGCTCAATTCATTTGAAAAATGAGTCGAGCTCGAGCCCAAAACGAATCAAGCCCGAATAGCTCAGCTCAATTATTGGCCCTAATGGTATCTAATACCTAAAAAATTTTGGTACCGTACTAATAAATTTTAATATTTCAATGGAAATTTTTACAATTTTTTGGGTTATTTTACAACAAAATAGTTTATCACTTTTGTGGGTGACTTGCCAATTTTGTGGGTACATGTACCAAAGTGTTTAATATTGGTATGGTGCTAATTTTTTTGTTTTTTTGACAAGTAATAATGACAAGATTACACGTTCGAAAATCAGAAAATCAATTGACCACAAAAAAAGAAAAAGTTAATGTGAATTTTCAATTTAATGAAGTTATATTACTATTCAGTTTCGGACCAGCCCCAAAACTATCGAGACGAAGCCCATCAGGTTTTAAAAACTAGTCTCGTTAGCTGGCCTTTGGGCCGTAACCCTATTAGAAGCCCTTCTTCTCATTAGTTGACGGTAGATGGATTATGGGGCCTATTACCCCCTACCTAACGTTATTTAGTGTTACTATGTTTAATAATAAATCTACAAATAGACAAGATAGACCCCACTTGATAATTATTTTTAGACATTGAACGGTTATCAAATGATATGAAATGATGATTACTATAATATGTGAAATGCATGTACTTACTTGTTATACTTTTATTGGACGATGACATCACGTGACGATGATGACGTTGTTTCACCTTTGCACCCAATATTTTTCTCCTACATTACATTGAAGACTTGGGAGATAAAAGGAAGATAGGAATACCATTTTACCCATCACACACTACTTTTCACTTTGTTTGCTTGTAGGTCCAATTGAAATGAAAGTGTAGACATTGGGTTTGGATTTGAGTTTTAGATTAATCGTATAAAACCTTCGCCAAACCCTAGTTAGGTTGGTTGTAGTACCATAGAACACTTTTGCAAAACCTAGGAAAAACTTTCACCCAATTCTTAAGTGGTGCCTTGCAAGGGCCTCTTTAGGTGGACTAATGGATTGGTCTATTGTGATCCATAAGCTTCTTTGACCTTGTATGACTAAATTATGTATTAAGAACTTAATTCATTGCATATGAGATTATGATATTTACTCGTTTAGTTACCATATTAAAAAAAATATTGTATTAATTAACATGGGTTAATTATGTATAAACAAATAAAATAAAAGATTAAATATATAATAAAAATAATACATATTGTAATCTAGTGTTCGGTCAGACATTGGATTCAAAGTGAGATAATAGAGTATTAATTACATATTAACCAAAAAATCATTGATATAATCTAATGGCCTTTGTTTATTTCGAGGGCAAAATAGTAAAATAAAACCTAATTAGATAAGATTGATGATTTTTTTGGTAAATATGTAATTAAGACTCTATTATCCCACTCTTATTCAGTGTCTTACTAAATACTAGTATATTAACTTTATCTCATATTTAATCTTATTTTTTATTCGCTTACACAAAATTAACAATTATTAACTAATATAATTCTTTCTTTTACCATACAACAATCAAATGAGCCCATATTTTATACATATACGAAATAAGCGTATATATAAAGTAATATAAGGTTGGATTATAGAATTTTAATTTGTTATGACAATTTAATCTAACCCTTAATACTGCAACTAAGTAACTCTGAACTCAAATTTCGTGGATTAAATTGAGATGATACTTGAATTATGTTGGTAAAAATTGAACGAGTCTATTTAAAATGGATTAGCGTATTGAAATTTTTCATATTTTATATTATAGATTTACATCAAAATGAGTGCCTAAACACAAAAATAAAAAAAATAAAAAAGAGCTCCTAGAATCACGCCGGTCTACCAGCCCTTTACTATTGTTATAGTACCTATTTTTATCACTTTTCTTCAATGTCACAACAATGGTAAAACACTTACAATAGTAACAAAAATATTCACAAATATAATAACCTGGAAATAATCCGTGCCTGAAGGTACGGTGTAACATAAACCAACCGACTAATTTGACAAAAAATTTACTTTAATTTGCTTTAATTATAGATTATTGAGAAAAATGTTAGTGATTATTAAAAAAATTTATTTAAAATTGTCAAATAAATTTATTGAATCTGTCATATTTTATATTATAGATGTCAGTATGGTACCAAAAAAATTTCTAAATTGGTAATTCATTCCTAAAGACTCCTAAAGACTTTGGTAATTCATTCCTCACCCTTGCATAAACTGTACGAACACATCAAAAGTGAATGAAAATTTTAAATGACCAAAATGACCTTGGTCTTGCATCAATTGATAAAAGAAGAAATGGACCTAGCTCCAAGCAAAGCAAGGGAACTTCTAAAAGAAGTTCCGGTTTTAGAGTGGTCCTATCCATCCCCCGTCTAGGACCTGGCAAAGTGCACCCGTAACTTTAATGTTTGTATGCTTGTGATCAGCCAAAATGTTTGGAATCTATCATCAATAGTTGTGATCAATCTTAAATGTCCTTGGGATTGACCCCAAGTGTGTGTACCCCAAATGTGGTAAGTGCAACCCAATAGGTGATAAATAAATTTGTCAATCATGTTGGGTGAGACGGATTGATGTTAAGAAGCATTCCACTTATACCCGATTTGTTTATTAAATTATATGTAATAAATCGTTTCATATCGGGTTCATGTCTTATATAAATCTTGTACAAGTAGTATATACACGAATCGTGTCGTGTAATTTTTTTGATTAATTTTATTCATATCCAATTCATATATTAATCATGTTGGGTCAAGTCCACTCGTTTACGAAACGGTGGGAGGGGGAAGATTTAAGAAAGACTCAAACCCTCTAATTCTGTATTGTATTCGTATCACATTAACAAATCATGTTATATTTTGATATCCTAGTAGTAACTCCATCCCGGAAAATGATACCATGACCCCAAACGGTGATTACCTACACCAAAAGTTGATAGCTTCACCCCCAAAGATGATCGGTGTGTCTTAAAAAAATAGTAAATTTACCAACACTAATGCTAATAAATGCACCTCCAAAATGTGGTAACTTCACCGCAATGGTTGTTATTGTGCTTCGAATCAATCCTAATTTGTGGTATCTGTCATTAATATTTAAGGTCGAGCCCCAAGGACTTGGGGATCGACCAATGTATTTAGTCATCTTGTTGACTATGATCGATCACAAAGGCTTGGGATAGATTCATTTGATCTCCACTATTCACACAAATTTCTTTCTTTGGGCAATCAATATTTGAAAAAGGTAAACAGTAGCCAAAAAGACAAAGTTTGATTTGATCAATAATCATAATTAATTGAATCTAAAATCAATGGTTTCAATTAGTTCGGCGGCAGAGTATCGAAAAGGCAATGTTTCTGATACCGTAATGAGACCCGTAAACGTATTCTTCACAAAAAAAAATCATGGTCCAAGTGGAGTCATTTGCAGTCCCCCGAGTCCCACGGCACAGAACCGAAATCGTGATAGTAGGCATGTGGTAGTGACTTGTAGTGAGTGAATCATGGGATAAGAAAAATCATGGCTAAATTGAAGGGGACTGCACATGTGACTGATAGTGCTTATTTTTCCAATAACTTTCTCATCATGAATGCCCATTGTAGAAATTACACTTTATCTCCTTAAACTATAGTCTCGATTTCACTTAGTCTACCGTGTTAATCGATTTCTCGTTCATTGTTCTTTCACTACTTGAACTGGTTTTACATCGTCTATAACCAAACGTCTATTATGGTTTAGATGGAAAACATCTATGCTTCATTAAATTTTAAGACAAAGTGAAACAAAATCACCTAGTTCATTGGACAAAATTAACTAATAAAATTTTTCATCCATTCACTGGAAATTACCAATAAGCATAATTGAATGTTTAATATGAGATATGTGACTCATGTTGAGTAGAGCTGATAATTGAATTGAACTACTCGTATTCAGCTCTTTTTGGGTTCGGTTAGAGTCGAGCTTGAACAATTGAATAATGTTTTAGGCTCGTTTAAATATTATTCAAGCACAACTTATTTATACGTAAATATTCAAACTCGGTTCATTTTTTAAATGAGCTGAACTTGAACAATATTTAAGATCGTTTAAAAATATGAGTTCAAGAGGTTTTGCTCGTTTATATATAAATAGTCAGGTTCAACTCCTTTTGAACCCGTTCAAACTTGGCTTGTTTTTTAAACAAGTCGAACTTGAACAATTCTTTAGTATATTTAGAAAAAAGAAGTTTGACAAACTTGGTTCAATTATTAGTCATTTTATCGGGGAATAAATGTGAGACAAGGACAATGATAGATCAAAGTATAATTTTTCCTATTTAATTCTTGGAGGTACAAGTCTTCAAGGTAAACTCATCAAATATTTTTCCAAGTTAGAGGGAAAAAACAAAATACATTTGCCTTTTGGCCTCAGAAATGACAACCCACAACATCTCTCTCTCTCTCTCTCTCTCACACACACAAACACACATTAACAAATTAATAATGCTATTTTAATCAAATTTTCTCACCAAATCTAGTGCTTGTGTGTGACTTGTTAATTTCATATAATAATAGAATTCATTGTTAATCCAACACCAGCAATAAATTTTATCGATTAATTTAGGTCGAATAATACTATTCTTACAACATTCATCACATGAATTCTACTAATACAAAAGAATAGATTCTTTTAGAAAATATTCTTTGTTCGCACCACAAGTCATGCATAGGACACTAAAGCTGTCATTCATACCAAAATTAGGGAGAAATAAATCATATACGCATAGCTTGAAAAAGTTGATTCTCAAACTTGATAAATTATTAAATAGATGAGTGTTTGTCATCGTATTCCAGATCCTATTTCATAAATTCTCAAATATTTTTTCTTTGGAGTAATTGTGAAAAATAAAATAGAATAGGTAATCAACAATGAATCCAAAATAACCCTAATAGTGGTGAATCCACCTTTTGATGTGCAATTTCACAGAAGGGGCAGAAAGGCAAAAGCGATAAAAGAGGAAGAAAAAAGTGGCAGCTAACGAGTTGGGGGTGACGGAAGCGCATTGGCTAGTGGGTGAAGCTGATAGCAATGACATTATGATAGAGGAGAAGTCTACTCTAAAACCACACAAAAAAAAAAAAAAAATTCGGTACCATAGCTCGTATGATTTACAATCGTTAGATTAAAAAAGAAAAGTTTGATACCGAAAAAATAATTTTTTAGTACCATAATATGATTCTATGATAAAGTGCGTGACAGAGACGAATTGTAAATTCAAACTTCATGAATTCGAATCTTGATAATCTCTTGAAATAAAGTCATGAGAGATTTATCCTTCATGAAAATTTTAATTTTAACGTGATTAGTCTATTTTTAATTAGATTAAAAAAAATTAATTAAAATATACATAAATTAGTTTAGATACCGGAACCGCCAAACCAAAAAAACAAAAGACAGAGTGGCTGACAGTATCATGTGAGTAAACCACAACCCTTTCGGTGGGATGTCATGGTTGGTTGGCTTCATATCAACGCTAACAGCCAAAATACCCAAACCACAAACTCCACAACACCAAAACCAAACACTTACCCACAAAAAGATAACACTACCAAAAAAGTTCACAAAAAGCTAGATTACTATAATTAACTATTTGACGAAAGTGAAGCTATTCTTTGGTTGGCCACTACCACTACCACTAGCCCCTTCCCACTCTCTTTCTCTTTCTCTCTCTCTAATGCTAGTAGTTGATTCCTCTTTTTCTTTCCGTCTTCCTTTAAATTCGACCCAAACTTGATTAGTCTTTTTTTTATTTTTAACGGTTTCAGATATGCGATATGCAATTTTTAAACGCAATTTAGATTGATGGATAACCCGGGCCAAGTAGGCCACTAGTGTAAGCCTTTTCTTTTTCTCTCTCTAAATGCTAGTGGCTCTATCCTACTAGATGCATTTCCATTTTCCACACGCTTTTAACCTCTTTGAGTCTTGAGGTCACATTCGCATAACATGTTAGCAGCTAAGCACACAAAGCAAATTCAGAGATGGATAAACAAGCCACCCAACAAAATTCATCCCTCCTCCTCCTCAACAATAACAATAACAACACAGAAGAGGTCTCCCCCAAAAAACCTCTAGGAAGTGGAGGCGGTGGCAACGGTGGTGGTGTCGGTAGTGGTAACAACGATAGGTTAAAACGAGACGAATGGAGCGAAGCTGCAGTTTCGAGCCTCCTTGAAGCTTATGAAACGAAATGGATACTAAGAAACAGAGCGAAACTCAAGGGAAAAGATTGGGAAGACGTAGCAACGTATGTCTCGGCTCGAGCAAACACGAGCAGGCCACCAAAGACGCAGACACAGTGCAAGAACAAGATTGAATCCATGAAGAAACGGTACCGATCCGAGTCTGTCATGGCTGATGCCTCTTCTTGGCCATTGTATCCACGGCTTGATCTTTTGCTACGTGGAAGTGCTCCTCCTCCTCCTCCTCCTCCTCTGCCTCTGCCTCAGCCACCAGCTTCGCCTCCTTCCAACCCTCCTCCTCCTTTGATTCTACTGGAACCAGCAGTACTGCCAGCACCACCACAGCCACAGCTACCGCCACCGCCACCGCCACCGCCTACGCCTATGGTTCCGTCGCTGCCGGTTGGAGTTGCACAAAATTCTAATGGCTCCAATGGCGTTGATCGGGTGCCCAAGGTCAGTGGAATATGCCCATGGTGTCTTTCTGCTGATATGTTTTGATTATTGATAAATGCTAAGATGTGAAACTTGCTACTTCCTAGTTGGTGATTACTTTACCTGTTACAACTGACTCATAATCCATCATAAAATATTATGATGGATTATAAAAAAAATATATATTTTTTAAATATTAAATTACACTTAAAGAAAAAGTGAGCTTGAATTTCATAACCTTATGTTTACAAGTATTTTTTCAATAATCAATATTTAAATTTATTGTCCATGAGGAGGAATTTTTTGGGGCTTCTCGAATATTTAGTGGGACCCGATAAATGTAATTATAATGGTTTAAATTTGTCAAAATTTGTATTTGAGATGATCCAAATCTAAATTTTAAACTCAATCCTTTACTTGCAGAGTTTCAAAACAATTTCCTTGAGATCATTCTTTTTTATTTTGATAATGATAACTATCTCAACAACACATCTCTTCAATATGTGTACATAATAATAACATAAACATGAGTTACTTGTAGTGTCTCATAAATCTGGTTTATCGGGTCAATCAAAACGTCTCTTGAGACATCTGAACTTGAGAATTAAAAATGGGGATTAAATTCTTTACTTGTAAGCCTGTAAACAAAACAATTGTTTACAGACAATCAATTAAAATTAAAATTGAAAGACTATATATAAATACATAAATCAATGTTAAGGATTCTCAACAATTTGTTTAGAAACTATCCGTAAAAAGTCTATTATTCTCTTAAAAATATTAACCTTTAAATACCTTTCCATCCACGACATGAGTTATTCTTTTGTTTTTGTTTTCTCATGTGTGCTTTAGACATGCTGTAATTTGCCCAAGAAGAATTGTAAAAGTACTTCAACTACTAGTAATAAGTGTGAGTTATAAAAAAATTGTAAAAGTACTTGAATTCGAATATTGACAATTTTTTGAGATCAGACCATAAAAAATTTATTCTTCATAAATACCCTAGTCCCAGCCAGCGTGAATGATCTATCTTTGACAGAATCGGAGAGTGAATTAGTCGATGTACGCATAAACTGATCCAAATACCTCTAACCTTTGAACCAAAAAATAATAATTGGCCCAGTAGCTATCTAGGCTTCTTAGTCACATTTGACTGAACTACATTGTCCTAGCAATTGACAAATGATCAAAGTTGGCTATCACTTTCTGATATTGAATTTGGAGATACACTTTCAGGAAGATGGATGCAGAACCAAAGTTTTCGATAATGTATCCGACAAGAATGCCATTGAGACAGACAGTAGCACACCAGAACTCTACAATGACAAGAGGATGAACTCGAAAAATTTGAATAAGAGAACAGAAAAGAAGAAGAAGAGGCCGAGGAGGGAAGATTTGGAGATAGGAGAGAGCGTCCGGTGGCTAGCAGAAGTGGTGGTGAGGTCGGAGCAAGCACGAATGGAGACGATGAAGGAGTTGGAGAAGATGAGGGTCGAGGCAGAGGCAAAGAGAAGGGAAATGGATCTCAAGAGAACTGAGATCATTGCTAATACACAGTTGGAGATTGCTAGGCTCTTTGCTGGCTCTGGCAAAGGTGTTGATTCTTCCCTGAGAATTGGAAGAAGTTGATGATCATTGAGAAACAAATTATATGTATAACCTTATGTAATAACTTTAGAGAGTGTGACGGAAACTTAGGGAGATGAAAGGGTAGGGTAGCACAGATGGGAAGACCTTATGAGCTAATATTAGGTTGAGATTGAAATTTCGAGTCTCACCAGAGATGTTTTGATCGATCTGAAGTAGATGATTAATGGACGGTTATGCATCCCAAGTTAATGTAATAGTCACGTGTTCAAATGACGTCATTGAGATAGTACTTGATTTTTAAGGAGGAAAAAAAGGTAAGAGAGATTTAACATGCAAGGTGGAGTTATTGTAGGAGATAACATCTCTATCCTTGTAGTGTTCTTGTTAATTAATTCATTGTTTATATATATATATATATATCGTATATATAACTCACTCATGTAGTATTTTTTATAATAACATTTACTATATATTTTTGTTTTTTTCTTTTCCGGTTTGTTTTCTTCCTCCAAGCTTGGTTGCATGTATAGTAGTGTATATATACACATATATAAGAATTTTACTTAATTGATCGGAACCCTAGAATGTACATTCGAGTAACAACTGCCCCTAAATTGGTGAGTGTCGTTCAAAAGTCACTTTAGTCGATGTGCCCCAATCAATGTTCGGTGATGATTTTGTCATCGTTGATCCACAAGTTTATTTTCAATGTCTTCAGAAATTAGGAGTTCCAATTTCAAGTCAAAAATCTCTTATTTTTTACACCGGTGCTTTTGAGTTTGCTAAGCGCTTTTGCATCAAATGAGAAAGAGATCTTTATTGAAAAGGCTTTGCACCTGAAGTAACACTAATGAGGATCGAGAAGAATGGGTCTATGCTTTTGAAGAATGGGTCTATGCTTTTGAAAAGGTAAAGATGCAAAGGGTAAAAAAAAGAAATTTTTTTAACAACCAACTTGACATAAAAATTATAACTCGCCCCCACTTAGAGAAAACGAAAATTCTCTGACGATTGCATGTATGATTGTATACATTTGTCAATATACTCACTTGTATTACTGATTTACTGATACCTGAGAATCATATTTTGTAAAATATTAATCTTATATGTTTTGCTCTTTAGATGAAATTATTTTTTAGTTAAATTAAAGTGCTTACGGAATAGTACCAAGTGGCCCGTAATTTAGTAACATCTCTTCAATTGAAGTTTTTCAAAAACTATTTAAAAAAGATCATATGCGTGCAACCTTACTTCAGTAAGGAAAGAGACTATTTTCGTAATTTGAACCCTTAATACCCATGCAATATTGGAGCAAAATTGCCTACATAAAAAAATAATCAGCTCATTTTTAAAATGCACGTCTATAAATATTTAATTTGCAGCACACTAAGCAAACCCCAGCCCAGAGAATAGATATAATAAGAGTGCAACAGGACAATCAAGTAGCTCGTTTGAGAATAATTTTTTTTTTTTTGAGAATCATAAAAGGCCCCAATCATATCAGTTTTGATTAATGAAAGGGCCAACCAAGCAACAAGTACTTGACTATGGTACTAAAAAAAAAATTGGTATCGTACCTATAACTTTTATTATTTTAGTAAATATTTTTATAACAAAAAAATTATCACTTTTATAGGCATTTACAACTATTACAAGTGTTAAAGATCGATCGTGAGTACCACAAAAGTGATAAAAAAAATAATTATCACAACAATAATAAAAATATTCACAAAAATAATAAATTAATATGATATTGATTTTTTTTTTCGATAGCGTAGACTTGTTCTTTATTAAAGTCTAATTTCCAGCATAAAAAAGCAAATTCTATGTTGGAGTAGTCAAATAAAAGAGAACAAACCCAACGTTTCAACGCAGAGGTGGCTCTATGCAAAAGTTATATCAGTGCTTATTGTTTATTTGAAGGGTGCCAATCCAATTGAGAAGGAAAAATAAAATGTTGATATGCAGAGCTTCGTTATTCAGAACTGGACTTGACAATGCAATTTTGGCGACTGATGGGGTTCATGACCACCCTACCCTAGGTAGGAATTATAAAATTTTATCTTATTATTCGATATTTTGTGAAAGAATTTTTTTTGATCCACCCTCCTATCCGATCAAGTGTACTATTCTTACCCGAATTCTGTCTGAAACAATCAGGTAGGAAATCAAACGAACACATATTTTTTAGTTCCTAATTTTTGAATTATTTTAATAATTCAATTAAATAATCTGCATCAATTAACCAACACAAAAGAAAACACCATAAATTTCATAATACATAAACAATTATAATTGATGATACCTCAAAATAAATCTCAAACGCCAGCTCAGGAGGTCAGCTCAGCCCAGGAGGTCAGACTAGACGAACAGAACTCGGAAGAGTAGAGTTGGAGGTCCCTTCGAGATAAGCAAGGGCAATAACAACCGAGGCAACAGCTGGAAGATCACGAGAGGTTCCTAAAAGCATTAGGAAGTAATAATCAAGACACCTAATCTCAACCAACCAAGATCTTCTCCTAGAATTAGGGAGAATCCCACGAAGTAAGGGTAAGAATTTCGGCCAGGATCCCATTTAGCAGGGAATGACCTTATAAATACCCGGTAACGCCCCCATCAAAAGTGGGGGGGGGGGGACCAAATGACCAAAAACCTATTCTGTAAACCTTTGGTATGATTAATAAAGAAAAAGGAGTCAGAGCCTCCATTGAAGAGTGGATTAGCCGAGCTCGCTAGTCGGTGAACCACTATATTTCTACTGTGTTAATTCCTCAACTGCTCAACAATTCTCAATATCATTCACTCGAGTCTAGTAGCTTAGATCCCAACAGTTCCAATATTGTTTTTTTTATTTACTCGTCATTACAAAATTGCATCACGTTGAAATACACCATCAGTTTGGCACCGTCTGTGGGAACGACTGTTCCTATTACGAATAAAGCTGATTTTTCAGTGACTGATGGTATCAACGCGAAACATGAGCCGAAGCCAAACCAATCCTCTACGGATGCAAGATCAACAGGAAGCCGCAAATAACAGACGATCCAAAAAATGCTCAAGAAGTATATCTCCCCATGGGGGGCCTTCCCATGAATAATGAGATTGAGGCCCTTCGTCTTGTCAATGAACGTCTGATAAAATAAACAAAAGCTCTTAAAGTTCCTACAACGCCCACCAGAGGCACGATCGGTCCAAGGAGGCCAAAATAACCACCACCAAGAAAGCAACCGCATCTCGACCCCCTCAGAGAAGTTAATGAGGTGGGAGAGAATAGCCAGACCTTGGGGCAAGAACCTCGCCTACCCCCTAGGAATGGTCACAACGAGGAAGTACAAAGTCAGTATAAGGAAGGCGAGAGGAGCGACTTCTTCCCTTATCAACAGGAGAGAAGAGAACACCACTGGGAGCAACGTTTCAAAAACATCCAACAAGAGCTCAGCCAGAGGAGGTAGTGAAGAGCAAGGCCCCAGTCATTATGGATGCCTTGGTGCAGCAAACCGAATCCCCATTCACTGTTGGGGTGCTGCATTTCCCTCTCCCACATAAATTCAGAATGCTACAAGTGGATGCTTTCGATAGGACAAAAGATCTCGTGGACCACCTCAACACCTACAAAAACCAAATGGAGTTGCATGGATATCAAGATCCAGTGAGATGTAGGGCCTTTGCTATCACCCTGAAGGGCTCAGCCTTAGCATGGTTCAACAGACTCCCCCCAGCCTCGATCTCCTCTTTTAAAGAGCTGTCAATCTCGTTTATGTCCCACTTCATTGGAGCTCGGACCTACAGAAAACCGAGCTACCCTTTGTTAAATGTGAAACAGGGACCTGATGAGAACCTACGGTCTTATGTCCAACGGTTCAACTTATAATCCTTGAAGGTGGATGTCCCAGACGAAAAATTTGTTATTACAGCCTTCATAGCAGGTCTGGGGGTTCAGTCAAAAGACCTGATGTTTTTCATCTCAAAGAACCCCCAGGCTAGTATGGCGAAGGTGCTCGCCAAAACAGAAAAGTACATAAATGGTGAGGAAGCGCTCCTCTCCAAGGTCGAGAGCTCTTCGTCGAGAAAGGAGAAAGGGAAAGAAGAAAAGAAGAGAGAACAAAGTCCCAAAAAGAAAAGAGAACGAGGCAGGTCTCCAAGAAGAGACAGAGAGCGTTCCCCGAAGAGAAAGAAAAATGTCAGGGATCGCCTCGGCCCTCCACAACCAGAGCTACAACCAAGGTATGCACCCCGACAATTCACCCCCTAACTGCTACAGTGTCTCAGATACTCTATGAGGTGAAAAATGAGAAGTTCTTAAGGTGGCCACCCCGGATGAAAGCAGACCCGACAAAAAGAGAACCTACGAAGTATTGTGACTTCCACAAAGACCATGGTCATCACACCGACGACTGTATCCAATTGAAGAGAGAAATAGAATTTCTAATCCAGCGAGGGCACCTGCGACGCTATACGGCCAATGATAATCAAAATCGAGCTCTCTCACCCCCACCCCCTCAACGTCAAACACCAGAGCCACACTAGCAACCTATAGGGGAGATCAGAGTGATATCTGGAGAATTTGCCGGAAGATGAGGGTCCAGCTCTGCCAGAAAGGCCCACTTGTAAAAAATCAGAGCCACAGAAGCTCCTGAAGTATATACTGTGTCTAAGTCTCCACGCTTAGACACGGCTATCACTTTCTCAGATTCAGATCTGGAGGGCTACCAACATCCCCATGATGACCCTTTGGTGGTAAGAGCTGTGGTGGTCAACAGGACTATCCATCGTGTTTTGATTGACAATGGCAACTCGGCAGATATCATTTTTGCTTTTGTTTTTGACAAAATGGATATAGGAAGGGAAAAACTTGAACCAGTAAGTGCCCACCTATTGGAATTTTCAAGAGAAAGGGTGCTACCCCTAGGGTCAATCTAACTCATCTTGACCTTAGGTGACCCACCCTGTCAGACTATAACAATTATGAAATTCCTAGTGGTTGATGCACCTTCAGCATACAATGTACTCCTTGGAAGACCCTCATTCAATTCTATAAGAGCTATTCCCTTTGCCTATCACCTTGTAGTGAAGTTTCCAACAGAAAACGGAGTTAGAGTAGTTCGAGGAGATCAGCGCGTAGCACGGGAATGCTACATGGCATCCATGAGACATAAGGAGGTTGAGAACATCCAATTGGATGAGCTTGACAAGAGGGATGAACTCGAGACCAGGCCAACACCATCAGAAGAACTAGAACCTGTTCAAATTGATGAGTAGCCAGAGCATCTTGTTTACGTTGGATCCAAGCTAAGTAAGGAGATCAAGGATCTCCTCATCCAATTCTTGAAAATGAACAAG